CAGAATGCTCTTTGATTGTAGGTGAACTATACATCCTAGTAACTACAACTCGCATAAGGTCTATTTTCCCCCAAGAGCGCCTCAAGAGTGCCCCTGGGCAAAATCAACTATACTGCAAATGCTTACTTTGCATCAGGCCCATAGCCAGGATTTTGATGAGGGGGAGGGGGCTGAGTCTGAGTGAAAAGAGGGTCTACCCTAGCAAACCTTTTGTATCATTACCCCAGTACCCCCATGCATATTATATTGAGCATGGTGATCAGATCATGATATGAAAAAACATAACAGTCTAAATAATGTACCAGTAAGGCCTTTTCGCAGATCACCATGAGAATTTCGGGGGGGGGGGGGCTGAAGCCCTCAAAGCCCCCCCCCCCCCGGCTACATGCCTGCTTTGCGTAATGGGTTGAGCCCCCCCTGTTTAGAGGGGAAGTTCTAGGGGCGAAATAAAGGGAAATTAAAAAAAGGATTTCAAGTGAGGATTATATTGTGCCGCCATCCTGCTTATTCACAGATTTTGTTACATGGTTGTTTCATATGAATCTTCCAGTTGTAGCTTCTTTCATCCTATTTCCTGCCAAAAAATGTTAAAGGGCAGATGTTATATCTGCACAGTGCCTTTTGATGCTCGGGACCCTCTGTCCAGAGTCACCTAAATAAGAGATATGACTGACAGTGTGGGAAAGATACACTATGAACAAAAAGAAGGACAAAGGGAGGGGGGAAGCTCAAAGGAGTAATATAAGAAGGAAAGAAAAGAGGAAAGAAAAAAAAGATGAAACAAGGGAAGAAGCAAAAGGCACAGAGAGGGGAATTGAGCTGAGGGTCAGAAGATGGGTGTATTTAGGAGATCACAAAGGAACCAAAAGGGGAAACACAAAGTTTGCTTAATTCTGGATATCACCATGAGATAGACAAAAAAAACGGATTACAATATACGAAAGGATAACTAACTAAACTGTACAGACAGCCATCTAGATAAAGGAGTCATTAACTATACTGACAGCCCTGAAGTTGGGTAAACACAAAAAGCAGGGCAAAGAGTTCCACAAAGTAAGAGGAGATATGATGGCAAGATAATTAGGCAGCTTATTAAAAAGATAAGCAGATAAATTTGCTACGGTGACGGTCCCCCTCCGTAGAGCTCTGCCGCTGTGCCGATAACACAAAGACGTTTATTAATAATTCTGGGCTCTTGTCACTCGCTGCTGTCCCCTGTGCTTTGTGTCCCCTCCAGGCTGGAGGAAACCAGAGTGTGTTCTGTCTCTCTGATTCTCCTCCGCACGTCCCCTGGGGTTGGCACAGGCAGGCTACAGATCTGATCCAGCTGAGGCACCGTGTATCTAACACAGGCTATGGATTAACACCTTCTCTGCTTTCCTTGCCATTTCCCCAAGAGGAGGCTGGCCACATCCTGCTCAAAAAATACAGGCTGACTTGCAATCATGGAGAGTAGATATGTAAGTGGGTAAACCAGTCTGTGGTTTCTTTGCTTGTCTGTTTCATGCCATGACAGAGCTACTTAAACTAATAAACTGACCGCCAAACTAACCTCCAAGCAGGCAGCTCTTCCTCTTTTTGCATTGTCACAGTAAGCTAGGAGAAGATGGCAGCTCAGTATAAGGAGTGCACCTCAGAGACAGAGGGGAACCAGAGGTCAGTTTCACAGAAGCATTTTGCATCCAAAACTCCACAATGCTCATGATACATACCAAGGGACAATACTTCAGGGAACCATAGCTGAATGGCAGATCAGATACATTCGTGACAAAGATGCCAGATTCTCTCCTTGGCATCTTCAATAGAGGCTTTGGTGCAGTGAGACTGGTGAGGTGGAGGACAGAGTGACCAGAGATGGAATATACTGGTTTGCTACCTATACTCCCAAATCTAAGTTTAAACTGTATAGCCTTTCTGACTGGGAGAGAATGCTGGTTCTCATGTGGGCAATGCCCCTTATGCTCAATACAATAGAACTACTTCTTTAAGTTAAAATGAACAGATAGTAGGTGATATGAGAGCTAATGTGGTGTAGTAGACTGCAAGTTGGACTAAGACCATTCAGCAATATAAACTTTGGCAGGTCACACTTTCTCATCCTCAGAAGAAGGCAATAGCAAATGCCTTTGCCGAGAAAACCTTACGATGGGTTATATCTCAGGATAACTGTAGGTCAGAAATGTCATGAAAGCACACAGCTACAAGAAAGTAAGTAGGATGAAAGACCCCTACCTAAAACCCTGGAGAACCATGTCCAGAGTAGGAGATTCTTTTAAATGGATAGATAATCTGACCTGATTTAAGCAGTTTGTATGCTGCTGCTGCTGCTGCTGCTGTTGCTGTTGTTGTATGCCTTCAAATCATTTCTGACTATTGTTCCCTAATGTGACCCTATCACAGAGGTTTCTGGGCCAAGCAGGGAATTAAATCCTGGTCAGATCATACTCTTATGATCAAATCACTAAGCCATGCTGGCAATGGTTTTGTATTCTTAGAAGTTAAAAAGTGTTTGGACAGAATCCATGAAACTAAGTGAATGTCAGCACTCTGAAAGATTTCCCTTTTGGACAACAGCTCCCCATATCCCCCAAAGCTGTATTCTGGGAAGCCAAATTTGATACACAATAAGAGTCAGTTATTCTGTTTCAACTAAAAATTTACCTGAGGACTATGCATGTAAATGATCCATATTAGCTGTCTGATATATTTTTGTTTGACATTGTCCATTAGGAACAAAGCGTTGCATTTGAAACAGTGCCCATGAATGTGAGAAGCTATCTTTGTTTGTAAACAATTGCTCACCTAGTTGCTTACTGTGGATGTTAATTAAATGGGTAACTGGGCTAATTGATTAATGAAATCTATCTAGGTGATTAACCTACATTTAAACAGATCAGTAATTAAAACAGATCAGTAATTGTAAAAAAGGGGAAATGAAAACAGAATAAAGGAGGAAAGTGAAAGTGCAATAACATAGGCAGCAATGAGCAAAATGAAAATATAGCCAAATAAATTCTAGTTTGTGCACAGAGTTCACCACACTAGGCATCATGCAAGCAGTATTCCAAAGACGGTGATGTGAATAAGAATCAAACTGTAGGAATGTCATGTTGCTAACAGTAACTTTTTGCTCCATTCCCAAAGTAATAACACAAAGTCCCAATTGGCATTAGGGCCACTATACATTAATAAGAGGTTTAATCCTCTCTCCCAATAGGTTTCTTCCATACACCCACACTTTATGAAGCCCAATCTACTTTGCCATGTAATGCAGCTTCATAATGCAGTTTAACTGCACTGAATTGCATTATATGAGTCTTACACTGCCATATAATGCTGTTCAATGTAGCTACTATATGGCAGTGTAGATGGGGCCTGAAAAGGGTTAATAAAAGCACAAATGGCACAAACTATTTGCACTTCTCTTTTATAACCTATGGATTGGGACAAATGGAGTTGGAATGGCTGAGGGGGGATTATATCTCCCTTTTCCTGCATCATAAGTTCAGTCCAGATCAGACACCCATACGCTTGTTGTTGTTGTTGGTGTTGGTGTTGATGCTGTTGTTGTGTGTTCAAGTTATTTCTGACTTATGGACATCCTAAGGCAAAACAATCACAGGTTTTCTGGAGCTGAGAGTATACAACTTTTCCAAAGGCTTTCCAAGACTGAGCAGGGAACCAACCCCTAATTTCCAGAGTTGTAGTCAAATGCTCAAACCACTACATAGCACTGGCTTCCTTGGGAGGAAAAAAGGAAGTGAACGTCTACAGCACACAACTAATTTAATATAGCCTGTTGTCAGACCTGTAGCTGGGTTGGGTAGGGGTGGGGGGTTCCCTGAGACAACTTGCTTCTTACTGTGGAATGACTCTCAACCTATTCATGGGTCATATAATAATACATAATTTTGGCCTCAAAACCTGCCCCTGACTTATACACGAGGTCATCTAATACATAAGTATGTATGGTAATTTAAAGCAATCCAGCAGAGACTCTTTTTCTGTATGCAACCATGTCTGTTTCCAGAATCCATTAGTAGCAGGTCTCATAGCTATATTGTCTTCAATTTACATTCAGATCCTGATATTTTTAAAAAAACATTCTTCTGGTATATTTTGACATTGGAACTTATGCCAAAGCAGAGGAAATACAACCAGTGCAGAACAATATTGAAAAGTTCCTAGGACTACATCTAATGACTAGAAGGAAGTTATGCATTGATCTTCCCTTTGTGATGTTCTGGCCATGATAAAATGATAGCAATTTTGTTTGCTCAAGAATGGGACTCAAGAGCAGAACTGGTACTGAATTCACCTTTGTGTACTGATTTCACCCATCTCTTGGAATGGTGGCCTTGACCTCTACTAGTTAACTGAAGATACATTAGAGACAGAGGGAGAGTATTTTATGCACTCCACACTGCTCTAAACCGTTAAAACTTCCAGACATATAACAATCACAATTTGGTTTCTTTCATGGGATTATAACTGGGGAATCACAGAACTTTTATATTATTTGGTTTATTTATAAATATGGGCATGTGGAGGTAAGGTACAATCACAGTTCTGCCAAGGAGTGGATTCAAAATTTCCCACCAGAGCTCCAGGGAGGGACACCTTGCATTCCAGATGTCTCCAGTCTTTAGCTCACAGTTCTCCTCCTCTCTAACCTTTCCCTCTCTGCCTTAAGGTATAATTCACACAAGCTCATTCTCTCCAGGCTTGCTAATGATCCAAACATTCGTGAGAGGCTCCATATTAAGGGACCAACTTCTAATCATAATACTCAGTAAAGAGACATTTCCTGGCCATGTTGGACTATTCACATTCTCTTGTCAAAAACTAGCGAATGATCACCATGACTTTGAGGCAACGTCATAGGGATGGTCCATCCATAGAAGCAGGGGAGCAATAGCACCAATATGTTTTAAAGTATCGATTTATTCTAGCTGCTGTTGCCCAAGAGCAGTCTTTTCCACCTTTTCCATGGGTTCGTTTTACCCAACAACAATTTCAATGTTCAAATCTATGCCTTCATGTGCCAGGTTGTTGAGAGAATAAATGCTGGATGCTTTCACGAAGCAGTAATTCCGCCAGTGGTTTTGGATGACATGGGCCGCCTTTTGATACTTCTTGTATCTTGTTTTCATAAGCCACATCCTAAACAATGACTGTAAGAGAACAGTAGACTTCTCGGGCCAAATGTACATCACCAAGGCCTTTATCCTTCTCTTCTCCTGTGCATGGTGCAGTGTCTTGCGCCACCATCTCTGGATTACCAATGCACAGTTTGCGGCTAACTTCAGGCTACGCCGAACCAGTAAGCCACGCCACCATTTTTGAATGTTAACAGCAGCCTGAAATAACCAGAAATAATTACATATTTCCTGTAGCTTGGCTCAGTCATTCATCAAACTGTAGTTAAGAAATGAGAAGAAGACTGAGACCTGGAAGAGTAGCTATGAAGGAACTAGATCTTCAATTTTTAAAAATGTAGCAAAGACAGACTCATCCAGGCATAGTATTTCTCATTTCTATGAATGGACATGAAAGCTGACCAGTAAAAAAGTAAGCTGATAGGTAGAAGAACATTAACTTATTTGAAATGTGGTTAGAGGCGAGTTCTATAGATGGCATGGACTGCTTAAAAAAAAATTGAGCCTTAGAACAAATCACATATTGAGCTCCAACAAGAATCCAAGGACCTCTTCGCACAGGCTATAAATCAGCAGTGATGACAGTTTTTTTTTTTTTTGCAGTTTTACCACAGAGCTCGCCGGCTCCTGTCACACACTGGAAAAGTACTTCCTGGGAAGGCTCTGTGGTGAAAGTTGTGGCATAATGTAAAATAAACCACGTCCACACACTGTCCACACACTGCCTTGCCAGAGAAAGAAATATGCCACGCAGATTATCAATAAAGAACAAGTAATTTACTCATCATAATACAGAACAACATATATACAATTATGTGATCATTTGCATTGACTCACATAATGTCCTTTTTAAGAGGTTTGAAATGGTCTTTCTTTGCCATGTGGATAAACTCCTTCCTCCAGCCCATGAAGCAAAAGCACACTCCAGACCAAATATCTCTGCTTCTCTGCAGGCACCTGCATAACTCAAGCCTGAAAATTGTAACAATATCCAAAAGTCCCAGGCTCAGCTTGCTCCCCGGGCATAGCCTAACCAATCGGCTTTGTGCATGTTTTTTTTACACACAGACTGATTTGTTACATGTTCCAACAAAGGTGCCCCAAACCCCCTGAAAATAGCTTGTGGTGCACAACGGGAGACTTCACATCTTTCATTGAGAAAGATAGATTAAGCCAGCTTCCTGAGGTGCTGGGTGACCCTCTAGGGTCAGATTACAGTGATAATATCTGGTCGGAGGTGTATTAGCTGACTGTCTTTCTCTAATCCTCCTCTCCATATGCTGGAGAGTATAAGTGGGCTTTTAATTGCTTTTTGAAGGAGAGGAGGGAAGGGGCCATTTTTATCTCTTTAAGGAGGGCATTCCAGAGATGGGGGTAATCACGGAGAAGGCCCCTCCTCTCATTCCCACCAGCCGTACTTGAGAAAGGGTGGGCCCGAGAGTAGGGTCTCCTCCACTGATTGCAGTGCCCGAGGGGGAGATGTGGTGTTTCAAATAGCCTGAACCCTAACCGTTTAGGGCTTTAAAGGTAATAACCTACACTTTGTATCTAACCCAGAAACAGACCAGCAGCCAGCGGAGCTGCCGTTACATGAGAGTATTCCTCTCCCTGTATGGAGCTCCAGTTAGTAATCTGGCTACCAATCTCCGTACCAATGGAAGCTTCTGAACTATCTTCAAAGGTAGCCCCATGTAGAGAGCATTGCTGTAGTCCAAACTGGATGTGACTAAGGCGTGGACTACTGTGGCTAAGTTTGGCGTCTCAAGGCATGGGCGTAGCTGGTGCACAAGTTTTAATTGTGCGAAGTTTTAATTGCCATATTATGCAATCAGTGTAGACCAGTCATGGGCAAACTTTGATCTTCCAGGTGTTGTGGACTTCAACTCCAACAATTACTTACAGCCTACCAGCTGTTAGTAATTGTAGGAGTTGGAGTACAAAACACCTGGAGGGCCAAAGTTTGCCCCTGCCTGGTGTAGACACATATAATGCAGTTCAATACAGACTCAGTATGAGTCTACATAGCAATATTGATAGGGCCTTATTTATTAAAAAAGTGAATTGATTATAAGCTAAAGTTGTAGGTCTAACTTTTTGCTACAGGTTTCTATTTACACCGTGAACATGGTGACAGTGACTGAAGTGTGGCTTGTCCAAAATATAGAGGTTGAAAACCTTAAGTCAGGAAGAACTCTAGATAGCATGCACATAATCAAAGTAGTTAGTGAGGGCAATGCAGACTGTCTCCAAATAATTAATTTTCCTCCCACAACATAATTTAGTAAAGGAGCTATGCTTGAACAACTTAACTTGAAAATTAAGGCCATATTTAGCTTCCAACGATCAATCACAAAGCATATACAAAAGAATGAAGGGAGAAAAATCGCAGACATCTTTCATCACTTCAGGAAACTTCTCTTCCAAAACCAGGCAATATATTTTGTCTGGTTTGATCTCTCAGCAACCTCAGTGGCCATGTCAGTGGAAGGAAGAATTCAAGTTATGTACAGCCTTGACTGTGTAAGGAGTTGACCAAAACAGAAAAGTAAAGCTTGTGCTCCATCTCTTGGGAAATAGGGTCGACAGGAATACACCAATCCAAATACGAACATATATCCTATCCTGGCAGCCACTGCAAATAGAAAGCTATCTAAAACGAAATGAAACTATTGAGGGACACCAATATTTCATCAGAAATGAATTTGAAGGGAAAGGCTGCATTACTGCCTTGTGCATAGGGTCTGCAAGGGGGCACTTGTAGAGGTTCGACACATTATTATTTGGTTAGGGACAAAATGGACCCTATAGCAAAAGTGATATTTTTGCTAAAAGATGGTTCAGATAAAAACCATGCTGCAGAAAATTCCAAAGACAGGCTGAAAACCCTGGAAGATGATGTATCTTCTGAAGCACATGGAACAAGACAACATCTGAAGAAAGCAATATCTCAACCTGCCATAGCTGGCATGAGGCACATTTAATACAAGAGAGCATGTGAGACAGTAAAAGAAAAATTGCTAGTGTTTAAGCAATGCTTCAGAGAATGTAACAAACTAATTACTTCAGCAGTGTGTGTGAATGCCTATATGAGGACTGCCACACTTGTTTGGGGAATGGATGACATATCTGGTCAGAGTAATGGTATTATGACATTCTCCATCATCCACAAAAAATGTGAGGGGAGGAGCCCCATGCAAACTGCAATGTACGCATCACTGTTGTACAAGCAAAGTCCAGGGCATTTCTAGTTTGACAACAAGGCTTTCTACAATGCAATCCCACTAAATGAATATGAGCGCAATACACCTTTTAAATACAGAATGAATAGTGTCAGCAGCATGGAGCCAAAAGGAACATAAAAATGAAGGTTGGTGCAGATGAGTCTGGTGCTAGCTACAGAATGAAGCAACCTGCGACCAGAATGTTAGGCTTAGGTCCAGGGTAAGAAGGCTGGAATAGCCTCCAGTCCTTTTGATAGGAGGCAAATCACTTTTAGCTGATTTTTAATTGCATGTTTTAAACCACGTTGGTGGTAATTCCATTTTAATCTTTTGCATGCTTTAACTATATTTGTAATGTGTAAGCCACTTGGAGCTTCGTGGGAAAAGCAATATATAAACAAAGAGGATCTTTTTCATTGTTGGCACCATTGTTGTGACCATCACCATCACAGTCATCATCTAGGTGACTTATGCTGGCATAACTGGAGCTACACCAATGTAAATACATGCAAGGAAGTATCCAGGACCTAGATACGACTGGAAGGGGTTCTGCAACTTGCAGTAGACCACGTCGTGAAATTGGTGTGGTTGCTATGGATAGAACTACCTGTTTTTCTTTGCTATTAGGTGTGATAGCACTTTAAATGGCCTTGGTGTCGAGACAACCAGTTGCTTATCCTAGCAGAGCATCATCAGATAGTCACAGCTTATGCCTAGGTGGTAGCTGAGAGAGCTTCTAGTAGCAGTGCTGGCTCTGTTAGGACCCCCATAGACAGCCAGGTTTTCCATGTTACAGAAGGAGCTTAAATTATTATTTATTACAAGTTGAGATCTCTTGTCCAGAATTCTGAAATCTAAAGTACTCCAGAAACAAAAATTGTCCATAAGGATGACTGAGCTAGTGACATGTTTGCTTTCTTATGGTTCCATATATACATACAAGTGTTGTTTCATGCAAAAAAATATTGTGAATGAAAATACCTCAGGGCTATGTGTAAAAGGTGTAAATGAAGCAGACATGAATTTTATATTTAAAATTAGGTCCCATTTCCAAGACATCTCATTATGTACATTCCAAAATTCTGAAACTCAAAACACTTCTTTTCCAAAGTATTTTGGATAAGGAATTGTTGTTGTTCATTTGTTCAGTCGTTTCCGACTCTACATGACCTCATGGAGCAGCCCACACCAGAGCTCCCTGTCGGCCATCACCTCCCCCAGCTCCTTCAGAGTCAAGCCAGTCACTTCAAGGATACCATTCACCCATCTTTCCCTTTGTTGGCCCCTCTTTCTTTTTCCTTCCATTTTCCCTAGCGTCATTGTCTTCTCTAAGCTTTCCTGTCTCCTCATGATGTGGCCAAAGTACTTCAACTTTGGAATAAGGAATAAGGATAAGGAATACTCAACCTGTATTGCATTTTTGTTTCCAGAGCTGGAGAAAGGCACTTGTGGAATTTTGTATCCTTTGTGCAAAAATAACTTAAGGCCCTTCCAGACAGGCCCTATATCCCAGGATCTGATCCCAGGTTTTCTGTTTATCCCAGATTATCTGGCAGTGTGGACTCATATAATTCAGATTAAAACAGAAAACCTGGGATTAGATCCTGGGACATAGAGCCTGTCTGGAAGGGCCCTTAGCTGGTGTTGAGCACTACACAACTTGACTTGGAGTGGAGGAGGAGACACCATTTACTGCTCTGTTGGAGGCAGCCAAAAGTGCCTCCTTCGACTAGCCCTGACTAGCAATGCTTTTCAGAGCAAAGCATTTCCATCAGTACACCTGGTGGAGTCTGTCAATCAGACTGTTATCAAGCTATAAACCAGTAGAGACTGTAATTACAATATCTCTGCTGAATACTCCAAAGTGATTACATTGCATGCAAATGCACCTACAACAGAAATGCAATGTTGTCCAAGTTGAAAATGAGTGTTAGCACATAACCAATGCAAGGCAAATATGCTTAACAGCAGCTATTTTGGAGAAAAGGACCCAGACATTAAATATACCATCTCTGAATTTCAGTAGCTAAATTCCATGAAATTAAGTGAGACATTGAACAAGACATCCACATGCAGGCAAGGAAGGAATAATTTGGAAAGTATGGCTTGACGACAAGAGTCAGATGGGATTTTGAATTATCCTTTGAATGTGATTTTTCTGCTTCTTAGCAGGGTTGGACTGGATGGCCCACGAGATCTCTCCCAACTCTATGAATCTGTGATTCTATTATTCTAGACTAGCCGTCCCCTGCCATGTGTTGCTGTGGCCCACATGGGGGTTCTGTGTGGGAGGTTTGGTCCAATTCTATCGTTGGTGGGGTTCGGAATGCTCTGTGATTGTAGGTGAACTATAAATCCCAGCAACTACAACTCCCCAATGTCAAGACTCTATTTTCCCCAAACTCCACCAGTTTTCACATTTGGGCAGATTGAGTATTTGTGTAGAGTTTGGTGCAGATCCATCATTGTTTGAGTCCACAGTGATCTCTGGATGTAGGTGAACTATAACTCCAAAACCAAAGGACACTGCCCACCAAACCCTTCCAGTATTTTCTGTTGGTCATTGGAGAACTGTGTGCCAAGTTTGGTTCAATTCTATTGTCGGTGGGGTTCAGAATGCTCTTTGATTGTAGGTGAACTATAAATCCCAGCAACTACAACTCCCAAATGACAAAATCATTTTTTTGAGTGAAGGAGATACATTGGGTTCTTAGGTGTCAATTCGTCCAGTGGTTTTTGAGTTCTGTTAATCCCACAAACGAACATTACATTTTTATTTATATAGATAACATTAAGAGCAGATGTAAAAGAGTGACAAAGGCCCCTTCCACATATTAGGATAAAATTCCATGAACTGGGTTATATCAGTGTGGACTCAGTTAACCCAGTTCAAAGCAGATATTGTGGATTATCTGCCTTGATATTCTGGGTTATATGGCTGGCAGTGTGGAAGGGCCCAAAGCCTCAAGAGGTATTATTTTTCAAATAAGGCCAACACATTTCTGCCTGGAAATTTTTATATGACCTTCAAAGAATATTAAAAGAATGTGTAGTAACAAGATGTAAACAAGACATAAACTAAACCATCACAGTATTATCTATAAGCACATATAGCTTATATCAAATTGTATATAATAATCTTCAATTCAGAAACATTGTATTAAAGATGATAAAATGTATATGTATAAACAGTACATTTAAAACAATTTGAAAATCAGCCCATAACACTTACAAACAGTGGTTATTTGTCATTCATTTGACTTTGACTTATCGTATCCCTACAAATGAGAAACCTCCAAGAGGATTTGTTGTCAACTGACTTGCTCAGGTCTTCCAAACTTAAACCCATAGCTTCCTAGATCGATATATAATGCACTCTCCTTCTTTCCTTACTGCATTCTCCCTTCTAGTTTGTTGAACAGCCTCAATTTAATTTCCTTTGTTTCCCATGAGAGATCAGGCTTCATTTGCAATAAGACCTATGGTATTCCTTTGCTTTTTTAGATATCTGCTAAACTATCGTGATTAATTGTTGTAAACTGCTGTTAAGTTATGGTGACCCTATGAATGAGAGACCTCCAAGTCAGCAACAGATCTCAAGTCTTGCAGACTCAAGATGGTGGTTTCAATGATTGAGTCTATCAACCTAGAATGTGATCTTCCATGCTTATCTATTGTTTTATTCCTTACTAAGCATTATTGTATTCTCTAGTGAGTCATGTCTTCTCACGATATGGCCAAATTGTGGCAGTCTTGGTTTCATCATAATGGCTTCTAGGGACAGTTCAGCCTTGATTCATTCTACAGTCGTTTATTTCTCTTTTTCGCAATCCATAATATACATAGAACCTTTCTCCAGCACCTTTTTTTCAAATTAGTATGTTTTCTTCCTGTCTTGACTGCCAGCAACTCGGAAATACTATGGCTTGGATGATTCTGGTTATAAACAGAATACCTCCAAAACCTAGATTTGGCAACCAAACATTCTCAAAGTAAAAGAAAAACAATTGTGCTTTCCTGTTTTTTCTTTCTTCTGTGGAGGTTGTTCAAATCACAATAACCTGGTAATTTGTGAATGTCATCACTTGAAAGTAGTAACAGAGGAAATAGACTAAACAGCAAAGAGTAGGAGTGCCATTGTATGAAAAGGATACATGAAATGAAATAAGAAAAAATTAACAAAAGGGAGAACACAAATAAATACAAAGCCAGTATTTACTGTGGGAAAGTCAGAAAAACTGAAATACACAATGAAATCAGACTTACTAGATAGTTTAACAATAAGAAAAAACTGGGAAAGAGAAAGAGCAAAAGGAGAAAACAACATCAGCAAGAAAGGGCAGTGCAATTCCAGACTGCATCAAAGGTAGTGTCCAGATTGAGGAAAGCAACAGTCCCCCACTCGATTCTGCTTTGATCAGACCTCACTTGAAATATGTGCCTCATTTAGCCTTCACAGTTGATAGTGACAAAGTGGAACATATTCAGAGAAAGAAAACAAAGATGGGAAAGTTCTAGAAATCAAGCCTTATGAGGAATGGCTTATGATTTGAGTGTGTTTAGTTTCAAAACTGCAAGGTGATATAATAGCCATTTTAAATATTGGAAGGGATGCAATGTAGAAGACAGAGAAAACATGTTTTCTGCTGCTCTAGGTGAGCACCTAGATATGTCACAAACAGTGATGCTGATGTGGAGTGGGATACCTCTGGATCAGTGACTCCTAGGCCCCTTCCACACAGCTGTATGACATCCACAATGAACTGGATTATCTGGCAGTGTAAACTCAGATAACCCAGTTCAAAGCTGATACTGTGGATTATGTGCCTTGATATTCTGGGTTTCATGGCTGTGTGGAAGGGCCCGAAGTCCGCACAGCCAACCCTAAGCTAGCCAAGCAGCTTAATAGCATCTGCACAGCCCAGCAGCAGAGAAACCAGTTAACATCATGAGATGGCCATCTTTACTTTGCCCCTGTTCCTTTCACCTTAGCCATGAAAATGGTGGTGGTCACCACTCAGCTCCTGTCGTGATGATACAGTACAAGAGAGCAGTGTGTGTGTGTGTGTGTGTGTGTGTGTGATTTTGTTGTTTTGTTCCTCTGGCTATCATCATTACAGGCACCAAGCAATGACAGTTTCTGTGTCCAGTGTTGATGGCTAAGGTCAGAACCACAGAGAAAAGTAATTGCCACCCCATGTTCCTAGGCCTGAGGAAAGCATGATAGTGGTATGAACAGTTGCAGCAGCTTATGAATAGGAAGTGGCTCAATGGTTCATACTGGCCTAAAATGTAGTCAAGTTCCAGAGCTCTAGGGAAACTCCTGAGCATCTGGTAACATTTTAAATGTTGGACAAAACCACATTAACTGGCTTTTTCCCATTTTAGAATGATTTAACTCTGTACATCCTGTAGACACCACAGAATCTATTCACCCCCAAACCGACTCATATGGCCCTAGTAGATGGTCCTTAGACACAAAGCAATGAATACAAATTACAATAATTTGCTGATAGTTAGAACTGTTCAATCATGGCATAGAGTGTCTTGGAACATGGTGGACTGTCCTTCAGAGGCTTCTAAACAGAAATTGTGGGCCAATATAAAGTAAACGGTTCTGGCCCAGTTTACTTGTCTGAACGCATCTCTTGCTACGATCCACCTAAGATCATAGTTGTCTCCCCATCATCGCAATCACGTTTGGTGGGGACAAGGGACAGGGCCTTTTCTGTGGTGGCCCCTCGGCTGTGGAACTCCCTCCCAAGTGAAATTAGATCTGCTCCATCACTCCTGACCTTTTGGAAACAAGTGAAATCCTGGCTATGGGATCAGGCCTTTGCAGGCTGTGCTGACTTGCTGGCAAAGCAACGGCTTTAATTGACTTAATGGACTTGACAGACTGCTTTTAGCATGATGACTTAAATTGGCAATAGATTGAATGATTTTATAATGTTTTATATTGTTTTTATTTAAATTGTATATTTATGCTTTTGTTGTGGGCACCATGGTGTAGTGGTTGTTAGCCACCCTGAGGAAGTCGAGATAGGACGGGATATAAATGTCCGAAATAAATAAATATACTGTAGTGATCTGAACATTGGATTAGGGCTTTGGAGAATAGGCTTTGAATCCCTGCTTGGCCATGGCAATCTACTGAGTGACCTCAGTGGAAGGCAAGGACAAATCTCTTCTGGAAAAAAAACTTGGCAAGAAAACCTTGTGACAAGAGTTGCCAAAGTTTGGAAATGACTTGAAGGCACACAACAAGAGCAAGCAGAGATTGCATTCCATTCTCCCAGGAATGTGTTAGTTATGTATTCCTGCATGGCAAAGATTGGACTAGATTGCCTTTGCAGTTCCTCTGTGTTATTAAAATCCTCTATGAATGAGCAATTGCGAATTTTACTTTTGATTATATGTTCATTTCCATGCACCCCCTTTCCTGGAAACCAATAAGATCTGGGAGAGTATACTGTTTTGAGCAATATCTGGGTTTGGAAGCTGGGTTTTCTGAGAGGAGGGGGGAAGGACTCATTATGCTTACCAAATGCCTACTAGAGAAACATCAGTTTGCACGTTTGCATTTCTGTGTATGAAAATTTAAAACGATTGTCTGAGAGAGCGGTTGAAATATGTGTGCACATTTAAAAGGACAGTCAGATAGCAAGACAGAGCGTATTTACATAATTTTATAATTTTATAATTGAGTAGATGAAAAGCATTGCGTGTACCTTAATTTGTTGGTCATCTTCTGCACTTGGAGCTGCACTTGGAGCTGCACTTGGAGCTGCACTTGGAGCTGCACTTGGAGCTTCATCTGGATTAGGGGTAACGTCAGGTTTTTTTTTAGGTGGACAGATCTTACCCTATAAAAAAGAAGGGAAGGGATTGGAAAACAAAGTGAAAGCCTATGGACCTTATCCCATAGTTGGGTGGGGGGAGTAGCATTATTTAAGCATGGTGTGCAGTCCTGTAACATTGCAAATCACTATGTTCCATTATTCATAGCTTATCACATGTTGTCTGAATTTGCTGGTTTAGCTGTTACTATAAGTTTTCATCCTTATCCCACGAGCAATTTTTTATTTAAAAAATTGTGTGTAACTTCAACACTATGGAAGATTAAACATTAAAGGCAAAAAAAAAAACCCTAGTGATCTTCTAAAGTAGCACTATTTCTTACTTTTAAACAAATTACTGTGTAAGGATCAGGCAGTTCCATTAGTACCAGGGACTCACTGCTCAATAGGAGACTACACACAGGACAGCCCATTTGCACACGGCAACAATACGATTCAATGTGGGCGATTTCGTCAGCTCTCATCCCATGTATTTTGGGGTCTTTTCTAATGGAATATCCTGGTTCCTGTACTCCTGGGATGATCCCATGCCATCTTCTCCCCACTCCTATTTTAAAGACTGTTTCTGATGTTTCCCTAATGAATTGTGAAGGGCACTGACAGGAAGTCCCCTACATCATGGGATGGCTCTGTCACTTTTTGTTAGTTCAATGGATTAGAACTGTTTTTTAACCGGCTGGGGTAGGGAATGGGATAATGTCCCATGTTGTGTCTTTAAGGTAACTCTGACTTAAGATGACTCTATTACAGGGTTTTCTTGTCAAGTTTTGATTAGAGGAGGTTAGCCAATGCCTCTGAGACCGGGAGAGTGTGATTTCCCCTAAGATTACCCAATGGATTTCCATGGTGGAGTGTGGCTTTGAACTCTGTTCTCCTGGAGTTCTAATCCAACACTCAAGTCATTTCATTGCTCCTTAATGAAAAACACTGAACCCCATGCATTCAAATTATTGTTATCTTTAAGTGTCTGATGATTTTGCATGAATGCATACACACATATACACAAATATATGGAGAGAGGAAGTGTGAGATGCCTCAGACTTTGGTGAAGCTTTCTTTTCTGGAGATTTTTAAACAGAGACTGGATGGCCATCTGTCAAAAGTGCTTTAATTGTGTATTCCTGCAAGGGAAGGGGTTTCAACTATAATAATAATAATAATATTTATTTATTTATTTCTACCCTGCCACAATCTCCCTGAAGGGACTTGGGGCAGCTCACAAAATCACTACATATAAAATCGATAATACATAAGCATATAAAACAACACATCATTCTATAAATAACAATGCACATAAAACCACATCAAGTAAATTTTTAAGAATTTAAAAAATGCAGTAGAACCTGAGAATAAAACTGGCTATCTTCAATTAACAATCCAAGTGCCAGAGTGAAAAATTGCCTAGTCTTCCAATTTGGCCATAAACTACACAAGGTTGAAGGCCTGTCAAAAAATCTGTTTTTAAACTAGACCAAAAGGCTTGGAGAATGGGGGCTAACCAAGTCTCTCTAGGGAGAGCTTCCAGAGCCAGGGGGCCACTACCAAGAAGGTCCTCTCTCTCATCCCTACCAGCTGTGCTTGAGACGGTGGTGGGACTGAGAAGGGCCTCCCTGACAAATCTCAAAGCCTGTGCCGGTTCATAGAGGGAGATGCGGTCTTGAAGGTAGGCCACATGGCCCTTGTGGTCTCTTCCAACTCTATGACTCAAGGAGATTGTCAGTTGTCTAATGAGTACGAATATAGAGGAGCATCTGACTAGGTGATATACTTGTGTTCTAAAAGAGGTGATTTCTAAACCTTCTGAAAAAGCCTGTCCAACATACTTCCACTTAGTTCCAGATGTATGCTGTTTACTGCTTAGCAGGGACTGAAACTCCCTGCACTTCCAAAGATGTCCTCTCTTTGTGAACAGTGTGTGTGTTTTAAAGGTGACCTTTTGACATTTGGAATGGGAGATCTTGAGAGATCTGCATTAAATCAAGCTCCTTGTCCAGAGAAGCCAACACAGTAATCTTTAATTTCAGTATTGTCCAGGACCGAGGTCCTGGTGGTGGTTAAAGCACTTCTGGGAGATGCTGGCCAATGACTAATGCTACTACAGTGCACAGAGACCACAGTGTTCATGTTTGAGTTTCATATGCCAACAAAGTTTTACATCAAAAGAAGAGAAAAATTGAATGACCCACTTTTAGAGGTATAACTTATCCCTGAAATCTTCATATATTCCCAATTTGGTTAGACAGTTGAATTTATATCTAATATGCAAATTCATTACACATGTTCAGTATCTGTTGGCTCCTGGCTTTAGCAGCCTATAATTCCATTTCTATTAGATTTAAAATTTATTACATTTTCTAATCCCACATGTGGACATTCTAAGGCTAACATAATTACCAGATAACTTGATAATATATGAAACTTGCAGGTAATTATTTGCATGCCTCCTAGCTCCGAGGAGATACATTTGAGGAGACATTGTAAAATATGCCACCCAAGAATCACAGCTAACATCATTAATCTAACTGGAAAAAATGTACATGTTTGAGAAGCTTAAGTTAGGGAGAAGGAAATGCAATAGAGGAAGGATCACAACAGGCAGTGCTTTCTAAGCCATCTGCGCTGAGGGACCTGCAATTATTATTTGTTGCTTTTCTGGAAATTGGGTCCAGTATTGATCCATGGACCTCCCACTTTCAGTGGTATTGTTTTAAAAGATTTCTTTTGATGGAAGCACAGTTGCAAAGCAGATACTGCCAGTGCTTTAATTCCATCAGAAGTATCTTCTCACCCCATCTTTAGTTCATGACTATTCCTCATCTGGTCAGAAAACTGATTTTTCTTCAGAAATTGGTTTGTGATGTTATAGTCTTCAATTTCTGTAGCTCCTCAAACCAGGAACAAATAACTACTGTATTTTGACCCTGAGATCTGCCTCTGGTGCTGCAGAGTGACCATGTATACAAGCACATATTCTACTGACAACAGGAACACAGCCTACTTGGACATGGGATCGCTAAATGTTGGCCACAGAGTCTATTTTTCTAGACTATAGTTCCCTGAATCTGCAAAGCAGCATGGCTACTATTCAACAAGTAACTTTCCAAGCTTGGATTAAGATTGCCATTTGTCTCTAACATTCCTCAACAATCTGGAAATAGGGAATAGCATTTTTGCACCCATGATCTGATCAGCTGGCTGCAAGGAAAAGGCAGGGAAAAGACACAGAGATACTGCTGATTTGAGGGGCCTCATGGTTGGCCAAACAGACTGAGATCTTCCTTCATGTGACCACAGGATCACAGGTGGTGCACTCTTTCTCAAAGGTATCTAAGTGGCTGGGTCTAAGCATTAGAGCCAAACTGTATATGGCACCCAACATGCCACTTGACAAAGCCTTTTATTTCAAGACAATATAGCAAACCTCATCAGGATAACTGTGCAGGGAGGTAGTTAATACTTCCTCACTGCTCCAAGATATCCACCAATGAAGGCCATCTCAGCTTTTATTTGGCTTGTAAAGAAAACACCAACCTGAAACAGAGTGTAACAATGCGGCAATGGGATCAGCATTGCACAGTGGCTGGCATCCTGTTAGCCAGCTATAATGTTACAAACTAGGTTTGCAACCTTGTTTAGTATTTATATTTATGATTATCACGCCATTGCCATGATCGGAAATACCTCAAATACACTTTAAAATCAGGCATTAGTACCAAGAAATGGATTTCTGCTATGCTGGTGAGTGGGGTGCAGAAGGTTGATGCATCTAGACCCTTCCCACCAGTGAGCCATAGTGTGGTATTCCACAGTTGCATCCTTCCTATTGGTTGTCACATTGCCACTTGCTGGTGGAAGGGGTCTGAGTTGGCATTATCTTTTAGGACCCTACTTACCAGCACTGCAGAACACCATCCTTTAGTACAGCTGCCTGGATTTTGAGGTAGGTTTGGGGAGGTGAATCAGGAGATGGAGTATAGCCATAACATCGTAGCTACGTGTCCAACATGAGATCTCAGCAATAAACAGCTCTGGCTCAGAACAATTCAGAAGCATGATTGACATATTGTTCTAAACATACAAATGGCAACTTACACAACATTTTTTCCAACAGTTTAACATTTTTCTTTCTTTCAGAAAATGATCATGTATCTGAGGGAGTGGATGTGCTCCTAGTAGCTGAAGTTCTATTAGTGGACTAACCTTGGCGGGCCTTGTAAATTCTGATGTCATAATGAACACTTTGACATCTTCAGTCTGATTCTGACTGAGACTCGTAGTTAAAGATGAACTGGTCTTAACAGTTACTATTAACTGGCTGGGCTGGACAAGTGTCACTTCTCCGTATGCATGTGCCATGAAAACAGGATCAGGTTCCCTTCTGGGACATATTGTTTATTGGCACTGAGACAGTGAAGGCAGAGCTTGAAAGGATGTTCCCCCGAGCAAGTGAATGCATCTCTCAAAAGACAAGCATATTAATCATTGCCTTCTTCTACAGGTCACTCTGTGGCTATTGGGAGTACATGGCTCAGATTAACATTGTTTACTATTCTTGCCTATGGACAACTTCTCTTGTGATTTACACTACCATCCCCTCTGTTTCCAATGCTAGGTGTTAAAGTCAGTTGTGGTGCAGCCAAAACACACACACAAGATATGATTAGCCTCTGAAGTTTGATGATGTACAAGTGACCCATGGGGAAAACCCTAACTGGGGGCAGAGGCAAGAATCCTAGAGTTGGAAGAGATCTCATGGGCCATCCAGTCCAACCCCCTGCCAAGAAACAGGAAAATTGCATTCAAAGCACCCCTGGCAGATGGCCATCCAGCTTCTGTTTAAAAGCCTCAAAAGAAGAAGCCTCCACATCATCAGAAGTAATGTGATCCTGAGTCAGATTTTTTTTTGTGTATGAATGGGTAAAGAGAGCAATGTAAGCAGTAAGGGTCAAAGGAAATTGAAATGGGAGAAACACTGACTGTGATAATTGTATTACAGCTTTAACGGAAAGCCAGGTGATGCCTTCTACCTCACTGGTGTAATGAATCTGTTTTGGCATTTCACACATCTTTTAAAAGGGCTACCCAAGCTGAACATCCTTTTCCTCAAAATTTGTTTGGCAACTTGGTTCATCATTTAAAAGCCAGCCTGGGATGGATTTGCTGCCCCACTGATACAGAAACCCCTATCTGCGCTGAACTGAAATGTAAAATAATTACTAAGACCACCCACAAAACAGCATTGATAATAGCACACCTCTGATGACATTGTGAAACAAAGCCATTTCCATAGGATCAGATTCAGGCTGATGGTCATAAAACTGGCTTGACACCTGGCTTAAAAGTGGGGCATTTGAAATGGATCAAGAAATGTTCTTAGACCACATATGAAATTAAATATGAGACTACGGTATGATGTGATGGCCAAAAAGGCCAATTCAAGTCTAAACTGTATCAATAAGAGTACAATATTTGGATCAAGAGAAGTAGCAGTCCCACTCTATTCTGCTTTGGGCAGATTTCCCCTCGGCCACTGTGTCCAAGTCTGGGGAAGGATAACAAAAAGCTGGAATGTGTCCAGAGAAAGGAGTCTAAGATTAAGACTGAAAACCAAGTCTTATGAGAAAAGATTGCAGAAACTTAGTTTGATTAGCTTGGAGAAGAGACAACGGAGAGGTGGCATGACTGACTTTTTAAAATATCTGATGCCATATAGAAGATGGAGCAAGCTTGTTTTCTTCTGTTCCAAAAAATAGAAAACAAATCATAGACTGAAATGATAAAAAAAGATTATACTATGGAAGAAAGTCTTTATTGGAGGAACTGTTTGATAATGAAATAGACTACT